AGGTGGAGTTAAGGTGGAGTTAAGGTGGTGTTAACCGGTGGAGTGTCTTGAATGGGAATTGAACCCAGGTCCTTGTGGTTGGGGTGTATGAAGCCAAAAAGCAGTGGATTTCAGGCAAAGGTGAGATAGCTTGGTGGTTATGAAAAAAGTAATGTTGATATTTCTACACTATAAAGAACTGTTATAACATATATAAGGGGGGTTATAATTATAAAACCTCAATACTAGGTAGCTAATAATATTGAAGAGTGACCAGTGATGTAGTGTTATGGGGGGGACTGACTACAGAGCATCTGATGAGGAGGGAATACAACTGGCAGGCAGAGGCCTCCTTATATAGACAAAAGTGAGGGAATTTAGCTCCAGGGTACATGCAGGTGAGGGAATTTAGCTGGCCTGAATATCCAATGAGGGAATTTAGCTAGTCTAGTACATGCAGGTGAGGGAATTTAGCTAGTGATAGCACAGCCTTGAGGGATTTTGGCTAGCCCACAAGGTCCTACTACAAAGGAATGCATGTGCAAGAACAAAAGGAATTCAATATGTAATATGAGCTAGTAAAGGAATTCAATATGAAACAAAGGAACTCAATATCCAATATGCAACCAGTATTCAAATTAAGCTACAGTCAGAGTAAAGAATCCAAGAGATATCCTGTGATAGGTTGAAATAGGTGTAACTTCTGAACTAATAGAGATAAGGGGGTAGTTGTAGTGGGTGACTAGGGGTTATTTTACCTCAGGAATCCATTTTTGATGTTTCTTTTACCTTATATCTGATGTAGAAAAAGATGAGAATAATTTTTTATATTTTTGGCGTAGAAACACAGGAATAACTACCACAACGATGGCGGCTTTGAAGATGGTGGTTTTGATGATGGCTATGGTTCCCCTTATTATTAGCCTGTTTTACATTACAACCCTCTTTCCTGCTTATCAAAATTTGATTTTTTTTATCTTCAACCTATTCATCATTTCTACCATTTTATTTTATTTTTATTATTTTTTATCTTTCAACCTCCTCAACCTTTCCCCACCAATTTTTCTTCAAGGTTGAGCTTATTTTGATTATTTTTTTTTCCATCTTTCTTCATTTTCTTTCTATTTTTTCTCAGCTTGTATGTAGTTAGGACCTCCCTGGCAGGTGTCTTGGAGCCTTGCCGAGGGGGTGGGTGTTGTGACCTAGGTCACATGGTGTGACTCGGCTGCGGCTCAGCCAGCCGGAGGAGACTACATCCGTCTCCTCCGGGCCACACCTAGTGGAATCCATACCGATATACACACTGAAGCTCCTACACTTGCATGTATGAAGATCGAGGCTGCATGGGATTTCCCATCTTGTTGAAGATTCTTCCTGCGGATTTTCAAAACCATACTCGAAATACCAGCATGATGAGCAGCTAGCCAGCTTTCAGATCCCGACCGATCCTCCCCCCTCCAGATATCCTCCCCCCCCCAAAAACAAAATATTCCAATTTCTAAATCCTACGTCCATCACCAACCATGGAACCAGGTATTCAACCCCTCCGATGCGATTCTTTGGTCGATGCGTCTTTACCCACCTACAAGCAAGTCATCACCGATCATCCTTCAGCTAAGAAATCCGTCAGGCCTGCGATTAAAAAGAATCCCCGAGCAGCTCCAAAGAAAAAATCTAAAGCAAACAGGAAATCGCCCAGCCCAGAGCTCAATGATGAAGACGAAGACCACCCGGTGTGTGATTTTATTGTCTCCATTCATTACTTACATACTGCGCTTGAAACTGACCTACCGAAACAATCATTCTAAACCATGCAGACTCAAAAAGTTATGGTGTCGACCTCATTCAAGCTTTTTGTCTTGGATGCCAATAAGTCCAAGAAGGCGAAAAAAGTGTGGCTTCTCATCAGCCCACCAAATCCAATCGAAATTGAAATCATTGCGAGTCCATCGGAACTGGCCACGACATTTGAACAGTTCAAAACTCTGGTCACCACCAACTGCGAATCAGCGGTAACCAACACCGGTCACATTCTCAATGATGGCTTATTGACTGGCTCTCCAGATATCAATTGGTTTGTTTCCATTGCTCGCGTCGAGGGCTTCAAGAAGGGGAAACCATTCCCACTCACAAATGGGGCGGCATTTGACTCTTGGATCGAGGCACTTGCGGCAGTCGAGGCTGATGAGTCCTGTTTAACAATTGAGATGACAAATCCAAACAAGGTCGCCAAGCTGCAGCATGATGCTGAGGTCCTAGCGAAGGACGCGGCACGCAAGGAGGCCAAGCGGCTAATCATTGCGGCTAGGGAAAAAAGGGCACTGGAGGGTGATACCAACGTCGGAAAGCGCAAGCGACTGGATGGGGAATCTGATGACGAAGACGATGGCTCGGGGGACGAGGTCTATTATGACAACGACGCTGTCAAACTCGTGATGAGACAGCTCTATGCCACTCATTCAGCTAATGCCTTGTACGATCGTCACATGCCGGTATACATCAACCCGTTGAATCACTCGGAATTCTTTCTGCTGTCCCATGGCACTTGCCAGAAATGGGCTAGAGCAATAGTGAGCTCATTATTTTGTCCTGTATGCATTAGATTCTATCGGAGCTGATGATTGGATTTTGTTTTTTGAAATGAAGACCAAGGTGACCGCTGGGGTATCGCTTCAATCACCCCCAAAGGATTTCAAGTTTGATAATCTGCCAACAAACAACGCCTCCGCTGGTTGGAAAACCGGTCCTGCGGCCCCCACCTCAACCCAATGTGCCCATGGGTCACATTCTTGTTCCCATCGGCCCTCCCCACCACCAAGCTCTGACGGACCTGACCCTGTCAAGGACGTTGGAATTCACGAGTATGTTCAGTTCATTGGCTTGAGGAACACTGACGAGGTTGTCAATCTCCTCGTGCAGAACGACTTGCAAAATTACAAGATCTTTCGATCTCGAAACCTCGATCGACCCGCTCTTCGAGCTCTTGGATTGACTCTGGGTGTCGTCACTCAGTTATGCAATTGTGTTTCCAAGTTTGAAAGGCACTTGGCCAAACAAGTGCTTATAGCCTCCGCTTAGGTTAGTTTTCCATTGGTATCTATCATATAAACTTGTATACGCTGGTCTGACAATCTGATTGATTATCATCCTAATCTTGGCTTCCTAGGGCTGGCCTACGTGGCTGTCTGATGATATCTCTCTGATCAAGTCGCTTCTCTCTGATCAAGTCGCTTATTCTGTTTGATCACCAAGTTGCTTATTCTGTTTGATCACTTATCCTTATCAGTCTATCTCTTGAAGCTTGTTCTATCTACCCCGGCGGCGTCTACTTATCTATCTTTATCTATCTTGAGATCAACCACTTGTCTTTGGCTGTCTGACTCTTACTACAACTGTTATCTATGAATTATCTGATTGATCGATTGATTGCTAGATCGACCAAACAACTATCTCGACCTTTGTTCCTCATCCAGCCTGTCCCCTGACTTATCCGAGATTGATCGGTTGATCAATCGATCAATCCCTCAATCCACTCGTGCCTTCCTTAGCCATTGGCCCAATTCCAACTTATGGGATTGCTTCTCTCTGTGTTATCTATCCTTTGTAATGTGTCTAGGTCTCATCGATTGATCAATAAAATAATCAGATGCATCGATCAATAAAATAATCAGATGCATCGATCAATAAAATAATCAGATGCATCGATCAATAAAATAATCGGATGCATCAATCAATAAAATAATCAGATGCATTGATCAATAAAATAATCAGTCATGATTCATTATCTTCGGAGTGAAGTTCACAATGATCACATGATCAACAAACAAATATAGGCTAGGCTATTTTTTGTGGATTCAACAAACACGTAAGCACTTGGGCAGGTGAGATGCACTGCACGGGGGAGGCAGGCTGGCAGGCATGCGGAAACATAAAGGTCGCAGCGTAAAGTATGGAAAAGAGTAAGCACTTGAGCAGGTGAGATGCACACGGGGGAGGCAGGGGCAGGCATGGATAGATACGGAAAATGTTAAGTCGCGAGCAAGCACTAGACACTAGATCCAAGCTAGGAAAGTCATGGGTAGGTATGGAAATGGAAACAGAAAGGTCCCAAGCACTAGAAAAGCACTAGGAAAGTAAGAATCAATCAGTACGGCCACATCCTCACAGGGGGAAATCAGGATTTGTTTCTCACCTAATCTACTCTACTCTGTTACTATACTTGCCGTGTGATGGTCCAGCGGCGCTTGGCGTGGGTGAAGTGATGAAATGGTTGTCATCAAGGCCATCACAGTATTCATGTAAGCGCGGGACACCTTCCCAAAGCAAGCGGGCCACCCCAGGCAAGAAGCCAAGAGCCTTCAAGTCGTCCTCGTCGCAGCTTCGGAAGAAGGACCAGTGGGTGATCCCATGGTCCATGAGTCGTTCGCGGGTGCGCTGGTCTTCCTTGGGGACTTTGGCTACATCTAAGTAATTCTCCATCGAGATGATATCCATGTCTCTTCGTGGTGGAGCCATAGGAGTTCTGGGGCCTTGAGCGTGTTTTTCTGGGCTAGAGACGTCGGCCTGAAGTTCGGGGAGAAATAACCGTTTGGGGAGCCCGACAATCTCCACATCGCTGCTGCCAGTGAGGCTGAGGGTAGAATTCTTATTGTAACGCTGATGCTTGGAGACATGTCGGTCGGTGAGAGCCAATGGGTAGTCGGATCCGCTGTCTGAGCCCAACAATTCTTCCGCATCACGTGTCATGGTTGATTCGTGACTCTTTGTGGATTGCGAGAGCAGTTCAGTTGATTGACGGGCACTAATCGCGCCATTTGCACGGATTTTGGTCAAGCGCCACTCGTACTGTGTGGCGAAATGGAAATGGCCAAATTGGGTCAGCTGATGGTAATTAATAATCAGATACAAGAGAGGGACCTAGCATGCCTTTAAATCTGGGTCATCATCGCGCGGGTCCTTCATGATCAATCGGATTTTGACCTCGGCTGGGTAAGCTGCACATGCCGCGGCACCAAAGGCCAAGTAGTCCAGTTGCCCTTCGAGTCGAATGCCATTAGGCAATCGGTATTTAGGGTGGTTGCCAATAGACGCAAACCAGCTGATGGTCTTCCCTAAGTTGGCGTATTGCATTGCCGGGAGGAGGTAGGCGGTGGAGCTGGATAAGAATGTTAAGGCGCCATCTTGGAACTGCTTCCAATCCATTGACTGGAGGTTCGTCGTCCACGGGGTTGGTACAGATGGGGATGTCACTTTGGTCCATTGGACTATGGGCTCGAGAGGGCCGAGGTTGTGATCATTTTCCAAAAACAAGAGGCACTGGATAGTGATAGGTGCCATTCGGCTGGGGGTTGGGGTTGTGGGAACTGCTTCATCCGGTTGAGTTTCAGGACAAAGGACATAACCCGCAGGTCTTGGATTGACATCCATGGCAGAAGTTTCAATAAGAAGGTCTTTAAGAATGGTCAATAAGACCACTAATATCTCTAAAGAATAAAGAATAAGAATGCCAAAGCGGTTAGGTAGGCTGTAGGATGGGAGGTGGAAGATGCTCAATCGCCGGATGAAGAGCCAGCTAAAAGGCCATCAACAACCAATGCTGCCACCTATGGGTGGCGGCATGATCCGATTCCCCTACCCACCCACGACTGCAGCTCATAGCCTTGGGTCATTGGTAGTAGTGAGGGACAGCTCATAGTTGTCTTGTCGTGACACCACATGGCAGATCATCTTGCTGCGCTAGATGATAGGCCGAGAAGTCAGTAGTAAGGCGTTTTAGAAGGGTGGGTATCTGCCTACGGCATTCATTGCCTCCAAGCTTGATGCAACCAACCTTATCTGATGAAAGCCAAGAAGAGCAGTTGAATCAGATGCAGATATTAATCTTTGACACGGGCCGGGGGGGCTGGAATTTTTAGACATGATAGATTCTTTGACACGGGCCGGGTTGGCATTTTTGGCATTTTCAAGACATGATAAGACAGCACATATAGGGGAGAGTTTCAAGTTGGTAGCAACAAACAACGGGAGGAGAGTATCAAGTTGGTAGGAGAACAAAAAGAGAGAGGAGAGTTTCAAGTCGGTAGGAACAAACAGCGGGAGGAGAGTTTCCAGTTGGTAGGAACAAATCATCAGGGTAATATATTATGCAGGAGGAACCGAGTAACCGCAGTGACGGAAATTTTTGTAGCAGGCCTCGGGAGTGATGACTGAGTCAATAGTCTCACGAATGTCCCACTCCCGATCATTACTCTCATCTAATATCCTCGATCGGCGGAGAAGCAGAGCTCAATGGGATTGAGCTCTGGACAGTAAGGAGGAAGATACTTGATTAGGATACCCGCCTCAAAGCAGATGCTTTCAACCCGACTCCCTTTGTGAATCTGAGCGTTGTCGCAAACAAGGATCGAATGACGGTTGGGGTATCGATTCATCCGGGGGAGCTGTAGCGGAAAAACAAACCCAGCAGGTCAGCATCAGACTCAATAGCCAATCCGTGCCCACATGCAGATGGTCAAACCTACCAAGTCCCACTCGAGGAAGTCCTCCCATTTCTTACCCACAAACGTGCTGTCGGTCATCGCCATAGCAAGGATCCCCCCTATTCCAATGGCAGGCAAGATACTAATCCGATCGGAGTTTTGGTTCACAATGAATCGCGCCGAGGGTGTGCCTTTTGGAGCCCGGGCAAAGGTCCTGAGTAGATCGCGATCACAAACGGCACATTCGTCTGAGATCGGTGGAGAGAACAACAGAAAATATCAGTCCTCAGCATAAGTGAAGAGCAATCAATCAGACTAACCGGAGAATACTAAGAATTCCGCTGGAATAAAACGCATTTTCTCGATATAATCAAACTTCTTAATTAAACATTTTCGGATATTAATAGTACCGGGTTTCTTCAGAGTGATGGAAAGCTTCACGACCAGGTTTCGGTGAATGGTCTCCACACAGAGAAGGGTACCATTTTCGTCGTATAGTCGCTCCCTGATCTCATCCAAAAACAGGCCTGGTTCGTCTTTCACGAGTTGGATCATGAACTTTGAGTCACTGTCAGAAAGAAGGGAGGGACGACCTTGCTGCTCATACTCGTTTGGGTTCCGTATCACACAGCAAGTCTGTTGATATAAATCCATCCAACGGCCAAACAATTGTCGTGAAATAGGTTCGCCAAGCGCAGTGCGGATGAAGGACTGTTCATGCCCTTGAATTAGCATCCGAACAGCAGCAACCTTGGTTGCTGGGTGGTATAGAACAAATCCCATCTAAGCGGGGAGAAAAAATTAGCCTACATAAGCAAAAAAAGACAGCGGAAGAAAGTTAGAGGTTATACTTTACCTTAACAGAATGGAGATGGTGAGAGTCGCTTGGAGGAGCTGGAGCCGGTTGGTTGATCAAGCCAGTGTGGGTTGGTTGCTTGGTGGGGTGTTGGTTCTTGGGAGGACAAGGAGGGGGGAAGAGGTCGATAGGGGGTATATTGGACCGGTGGGTGCATGAGGTTATATCAGTCAGGTGGGTGGATGAGGTCATACATCAAGAGCTTGTTCATGCATGTAAGTCCATGTCATGTTGGATTTTCATCGTATAAGATTAGGGTGAGCATGAGGTGATTATTAGGGTAGTGGGAACCAAAAAAAAGAGGCAGAAATAAGAACAAAACTGCCATCGGCTAGGCCTGGGAAGTGCATAATTGCACACTAACTTCAAAAATAAAAAACATAACGGTCCAAGGTATTGTAAAAACACAATACGTTCAATCGGCGTCAAACTTGGATTTCACACTCAAATTGCTTCAACAGCTATCAAGGAATTCGTCCAAACCAACTTCCTCATCTTGACCTCCGCATGTTATAGCCGCTTTCAAGAATACAGCCAACACGGTCTTACTGAGCAAGTCGACGATCACTGAAATCGAACAAAAAATTGTACGGTTGCTTAGTTTACCATCTTCCTTTGTTTGTCTCCAAGCACGAACTTAACACCAGTCCCTCCGAGTCCGAGGAGGTCGCCCTCCTTCGGAGGTTGCTGTGACAAGGAAATGAATACGTATGAAGAGCTTAGTGGATCGCTCAAGAAGCAAAAGACCAGCATATAATTAAGTATGGAGTTCCATTTCAACAAAATTGTTGATTCAAGCAAGTCACTTTTGAACTTTTATCAAAACTTATGAGGCCTGAATACAACGACCGCGACATAGTTTTTTTTTTTTAAAAAAAAGGATTGACATTTCATCAAACAAAAATCAACCATGTCGTATTGCACAAGTATGAAGTCTCGAATTTTCTAGCTCTATGCAACGGTGCAACATATACTATAAAATGAAGTATTGCCCAATATTTTATATTGTATTGGTGTCCAGATAAAAATTATCTTTAATAAATATATTATATCTGTTGCCAATAAAATAAAAAGTATTTATTGGCTTCATTGGCAACAGATAAAATTCTATCTGTTTTGAATATATGTATGCCAAT